TGTTGCTCTAGTCAAATATTCTTACTCTTTTTTGGGTAATAACTTTTGTCACTATTCTTTTTGCAGTTTTGCTAAAATAGCACATACTTTATATCATATATATATATGTGATATATATACAAAACCTTTGAGTACAGGAGTTAGCATCATCAAGTACTGATTGCTTATGCAAATTAGGAAGTATTAAGCTACACTATGTCTATTTTAAATAGAGTAGATTGTTTAAATGACTCCATTTCAGAAACTTTGCTTCAATAAATTTTGTTTTGTAAACCTGCCTCTAAATGTTTCCCTTTCCAACAGCAGAGTAAATAAATAGACAAACAAACAGCTCTTGTTGAAACAACAGTAATTTGTTATCTTGCTCAGAGAAAAAGTGAGATTTCAACATGAAGAAGGTCTAGGGTGTTACTACCACTTTTAGAAATTTATACACATTGTTATTGTCGTTGTCTGAGGAAGATTAGCCCTGAGCTAACATCTGATGCCAATCCTCCTCTTTTTGCTGAGGAAGAGTGGGCCTGAGCTAACATCTGTGCCCATCTTCCTCTACTTTTTAATATGTGGTACACCGCCACAGCGTGGCTTCATAAGCAGGGCATAACTCTGCGCCCGGGATCCAAACTTGCGAACCTGGGCTGCTGAAGCAGAGCACGCGAACTTAACTCCTACACCACTGGGCCAGCCCATGTTATCCATTGTTTTTAAATGTAAATTTGAACTCGAGCTAATTTGCACTTTCTCAAATAAATTGATGAACTTCAAATAAGTTGCCTATAATCACCCAATGTTATTATTTTCATTACATTGTCCTCTAATTTTTATTAATCTACCATACATGAAATTGCCTGTAATTTTAATGAGCCTATGCATAACATTTTGTGTTCTGCATTTATATACATATTTCTTTATGTTAGCATAACTTTTATACTTATTGTAGTAATAAAGACTAATATAAACTTAACAATGTAAGATTCCATAGTGTTAAACTCTTTCCCTTTTGTTGGGTTATGGTATTAACAACAGCAGCAACAACAACGATAGTCCATTTATTGACTGTTTACACAGTAAATCTTCTGTTAAGAATACCTTTTAACAAAGTAGAGACCAAGCTTAGTTTGCTATGTGTAAAGGCCTAGACTTCAGAATTTGATATATTCAGATTTTTACTGTCTGTGTGATGTTAGTCAAGAAAAAAAAAAATTCCCTATTTTTTCCTCACCTTCAATTTCCTTCTGTGAAAAAATAAGAATAAGAGCTGACTTAGATGTTGTACCTACCAGAGTCTGGCACATAGTAGATGTTCAAAATATGGGGGAAGATTGTTATTGGAAACTACTTCTAAAATTTATCCAATTCTATAAATGAAAAAATTTATACTATTTTTGTGCATGTTTCCAGATGGATTTCCAGGATAATTAAATGGCCAGTGCTACCAGCAATATGCTGCATTCATTTTTTTATATACCAAATCCTTACTAAGTTTACCTTTCCATCATTCTTCTTCTTTGTCTTTTTTTCATTCTTCATTCTTTCAACAAATAATATGGCTTGTTGTGTACCTAGTATTTCTGAAGTCAGTGTTAGACTCCAGGTTGCAACTGGCATGAAGAAAGTGCTATCTACTTAAAAAGAGTCAAAAGACTCAGGAGCAATCTCCATTGCCAGGTCAGTACATAAATAGAAATGTGGTGCATGTGTGTGCGCGTGGGTGTGTGTTTACATGTCTGTCTTCCCCATGAGGTCATAGTTGGTCCTCTTGATATCATATCAGTCAAGATGATCAAGCTATAGCCTCCTAGGAAGGACACAGGTAAACAGATAATACAATATGAATTCTAATAACAGATTTATGCACAAAATGTTGTGGCTGTATATTTCTGCCTAAGGGGTTAAAGATGGTTACAGAATTCACTACTGAATTAAATTTTTTTTTCAAGTGAATACCAGCTTATCAGTTATCTAGAGAAGGGCCCAAAGTTAAAAGATGTAGGCTACCCAGAAAAAACAGAAGATACAGGGGCTGGCCCAGTGGTGCAGAGGTTAAGTTCGCATGTTCCGCTTCTCGGCGGCCCAGGGTTCGCCGGTTCGGATCCCGGGTGTGGACATGGCACTGCTTGGCACACCATGCTGTGGTAGGCGTCCCACATATAAAGTAGAGGAAGATGGGCACGGATGTTAGCTCAGGGCCAGGCTTCCTCAGCAAAAAGAGGAGGACTGGCAGTAGTTAGCTGAGGGCTAATCTTCCTCAGAAAAAAAAAACAGAAGATACAAAGTCAAGTGTGACAACATAGGAGAGACCTTCATGTCTGGCAACTGATGTTTTTCCACAGCCGTAATAATAATGGTAGATGAATTACTATTAGAACAGGAGGGTGAGAAAGTGAGCATAACCAGACCAGAAAGAAGAGGAAAAGTTGGCAAATACTGTGTACTTCCCATATGACAGGCAGTATGTTGGAGACTTCATGCATATTTTGTCACACAGCTCTCAGAATAACCCTATTTTGGAGGTGACGTAAATGAGGCTTTGAATATGAAGTAAGTTGTCCAAGGTCATACAGCAAGAATATGGTGGAATTGGTGTTCATACCCAAGTCTTTGAGGTGAGATTCCCACTTCTCTTCACTGAGATGCAATTAATAGTTGAATGGGAAACCACTTCAGTGTTTTCTCATTTATTTGGGTTTCATTAACTTCTCTAAAGATAAATCCTTGGAATTTTGTTCTGTGTAATTTCAAACTTCATTGACAGCACAAAGCAGATGTTCTACAAAACTTACTTTATCTTTCTTTGATGTCTGTCGAATGTAAATGATTCCTCTCTATAAAGATGGCTATAGTTTCCTTGTGTTATGTAGCAGATTCTTTTTCATAACCTTTGTGCTTTGTTTTGCTTCATCACCCATTTATCTATCCTTAGATATGGCCCATGATTTGCCCTTAAGTGGGGTGGATGGAGTGTCTTTTAACCTACTCAGGGTTGTTCTGTTTGCTCTTGTAATCTTATTTCTCAGACCTTTGGCAGGAGGGCTGGTTATCTATCTGCCACTCTGGAGCCTGGCACATAGAGGGAGGGAGTCAGAGCCCTGGAGATTTCCTTCATGAGAACTTCATCCTGCCATTTTGGAAAATGGCACTTATGCTGATGGGCAGCTTTCTCTATCCATCCTCATTGGCCCAGCCTGTGTGACAGATTGCGTGGGGCTGACTCTAACCTTCTTTCTAGTGCCTCCTCCAGGGAAAAGCCCCACTGCCTCCAGAAAAAGCCCTGCCATACTCAGTGCAGCTCTTACAATGTCCCTGATCTCTTGATCCTCTGTAGAGAAGTGAATTCCCATCCTCTGCTTCCAATCTGCCCCCTTTTTCTAATATCATCCCTTCCAAATTGAGAACTAACAATTCTCTAGACCAGAAATCAGCCAACAGTTTCTATAAAAGGTCAGATAGTATATATTTTAGAATTTGTGAGTCATACTATTTCTGTCACAACCTCCCAACTCTGCCATTGTAGCATGAAAGCAGCCAGAGAAATATGTAAATGAGTGGCTGTGGATGTATTCCAATAAAACTTTATTTATAGACTCTGAAATTTGAATTTCAAATAATTTATGTGATTCTTTTGATTTCTTCCAACGATTTAAAAATGTAAAAACCATTCTTAGCTCACAGGCTACCCAAAAACAGGCAGCGGGCTGTAGTGTGCCAAACCCTGCTCTGGACAGGCAGTGTGCCGCGGCACCACTTCTTCTGCAGGGTAAATTGGGGTCTGACTCTCAAGGTCTCCAGTCTGGCTCTTCTCTACAGCATCTCCAATCCAGAGCAGCTTTTCCTAGTTCCTGTGATCGTGAAGTTTCTTCCTCGAGTCTTTAACCATTTCCATTTTCTCCTTTATTTGCACAGTGTTTCCCCCTTGGGATCTGCCATAGGGAAGGTGGTTAGTTTCTGTTAGCAAGCTGATGTCTGATCTAGAAGTGAAAGGTGGATGTTTTTTTCTCGCTCTGGAAATTTTCTTTATTATTTAACCTTCTGCTGTTCTTCAGGAACCTCTCCAATGAAACTAAATTAAACTGACTACTAACTAGTTCGTAATTCTTTGAATGAATATATTTGAACTTCATTCACATGATTTTTCAGAGTATTCTTTTGACTTTTTTCTCTTGAGATTGTGTTGCACACAGGAAGATAGCTTGGCAAGTAAGTGAAAGGATTGACGGAGTAAAAGTGTGAATTGAGACAAAAAATATATGCCAATTCCTACTTTTGTTGTTGCTGTTTATTCATTCATTTACTCAGAAAATACTTATATGTGCCAGACGTTGTGTCCCAAAATAAGATGTCACTCTTTATTTGACATACAAAGATGAGTAGGGTACCATGCTTGTCTTCCAAAGAAATAAAAGGGAAACAGAGACTGATGAGATACATCTTATGTAATTCTCTGATATCTGTTACTTATATTGTAGGGCATACAGAGCACAGGTAAGCATAGGAAGAATGGTGTGCTCTGCCCACTCCATATGTGATGGTAAAAGAGCATGGACCATAGAGCTCAGATCCTGGGCCATTGTTCCACTACCCTGAGCCTTAAAATCTGTCAAGTGAGGAGACTACCTCCTTTGCAGCTTTGTTGTGAAGACAATGAAGTTTCTTACATACGCATGATGGAATGCTCAGCACATAAGCCCTAAGAGGAATTCAACATCAGAGCTTTTTTGTTTGTTTTGTTTCTTGTTGATGAATTTATAGCCTTCCAATAATGTTATACCAATTCTCCACTAAATTTATTACTTCTTAATCAGTAATACACTACATAGTGTGTTTTCACCACTGTACTATGCATTATGTGGAAAATAGAGGGGTGTAAATTAAGGGCCTTCTGTTGGATTACCTGTCAAGTGTCTTTGTTTTCTAATGCTATAGTTTGGGAAGATACCCTTGTGTGAATGATGTGAAATATTTATTGACTGACTTTGTCATCTCTTTGTGTGTCTCTGTAGATCTGAACAGTGATGGCACATATTGTGGTTAAGAGTTGCTCAGTGGACCATGGATTGACTGAACTGTATCCATTTCCATCATGATGTACACCACTAAGGCTCTTTACTAGTAGGTATTTTCTATTCAATATTATTCACATGGTTATGTACTGAGATTTTCAATAGTGTACACTTTTAATGAAAAATGTGCAAAATACATGTGTTCGTGGTGCTGTTATGAAATGTGGCTAGATTTAGTCTTTTTATGTACCAACCAATTGCAAAATGAAAGTCCAGGTTAAGATGTATCTATTATGTATATGTATATACATTAGTATGGTAGTAAATGTGTATCTATAAAGGCAGAATTTAGAATTATAGAATTTTACCTCTCTTTTAACTGAATAAAAAAAGTCACTGGAAAGTTTCAACATCTTTCAGTTCTTTAATATCATATAAATCTGCAATGTAAGCCTAAAGATTTTACCTAGTTTAATATTTTGAAACAGTTCAATTTTATTGTAGTTTTACCCAACAGGGTGTCTGATATGTGTCCACTTACACAAGTATCATATGGTAATTGACATACGATGTTTATGATGTTATGGAAGGGGAATTATACTCAGTGTCAGAAGACCTTAATTTTAGTTCCAGCTCCAACATTCATCACTGACTACTCCCTTGAATCTCTAGCCCTTAGCTTCCTCATATGCAAAACGAGAGGAAGAATTTCTGCTTTACCTAATTCGTAGATTACAAGTCAGATGAGGTGATATTATGAAATTATTAGTTAGCTGTGAACCCCATAAAAATAGATAGTTTTGTCAGTGGCTGACTAGTATTACAAGTAGGGAGCTGGAAAAAAAAGTTATAACTATGATTTTGTTTTTAAATTGGTTAATACAGCCTAATATTTTGTATGTTATTCAGCAAAGAGATAAATGATAAAATCAGACAGTTTTAATTTAGGACCCAAATTTATTTGTTGTATTGGAGAAAATTGTGTTTAAATGAAATGTGGAAAAACATATATGTTTCACCACACACACTGCATACACGAGTCTCCACTAACCATAAGTATTAGATTTCTGCTTCTGATCTCTGGCATATGTACTCTCTTATTAGCTTTTATTTTTCAGTGTTTACACTTGGAGAAAGAAAGATACATTGTATGCTTTTTATGTATAGTTGAATTTCAGGATACTAAGGGAACAGTGTAGAAATTCGATCAGATATTCCTCATTTAGCTTACTGTATTTAATGCTTCTGTTTACTGAAATCTCTTTAACACCTTATATGACCATACTCTTTAGCTTACAGAGTACAGCTAGCTATTTAAAATAAAAGGTTAAAAATGAAGATCTTAACAAATGCATCTAGTAATACTGAGAAAGACTTTTCTACTAAAATTAATGAAGTTATTATATAACCAGGCCAATGCAATGTAACTGTTTGCAAATTCTTTTCCAGAAATTAGATAATTTTATCATTGAGAAGGCAATGGCTTATTACACAAATAAAATGCTTGCATATAAGTGAAACAAAAATCGAATAACAAGCAAAATCCATCAACTTGCTGATATAGTAGCATAGTCCTTAAGTATAGGGCATATCTAGAGTCAGATTGCCTAGCGTTGCAACCCAATTCCATCATTTTCCAGCTTTGCAATGCTGGGTGAGTCGTTTAATCTCTCTGTGTCTTAGTTTTCTCATCTGTAAAATGGGTCTGATGATAAAAGTATTTATCACACAGAGTTGTTGTATAGATAACGTGAGCTAATATGGTCCAGTGCTTAGGAGCACTGTGGGACTCTTAGGAAGTAACCAATCAATATTAGCGATTGTTATTCACTGGAGGAGTATGGGATTATGGTGATGACCACAGATTTTGGAATCAGAAAGGCCTGTGTTCAAAACCATTTGTTAATTAATGGTGAAACCTAGAGTAGTTACTGAACTTTTAGAAGTCTCAGTTTCTGAAAACTAAAATGGAAATAAATAAAATATACTCCATGCTGCTTTTGTTAGGATGGTTTAACGGCATCTGGCAAGGAATGGTAGCTCTCACCTTCACTGGAGTTGTGAAGATATGATCACAAATGATTACATAATGCAATTATAAAGTAATATAAATCAGAGATTCTCTGATTCTGAAAAACCTCCTTGCCATAACTTATATTTAGGGGACTTTTAGATGTACCCAATAATGAGATTTGCTTTGTTAGATCCAGAATTTCAAACAAGAAAATAATTTAAATCAAATGACAAAGGCAAACATAAGTTAAATCTGGCATCCTGATTTAAAAAATAAAAATGACAAAAATCCATTGACTTTTTTAGGCCTAATAGGGAGTATCAGCTCGTTGTTTAATTTGTTAGGAAGATTGGGCTGTTACCACATTTAAAATGACTTTTTTCTCTGGAGAGAAAAGGAAAAGAAGAAAGGAGGTGAAAATGCAGACTGGGTGTCACAAAGGGATGGAGAGGAAGTGCTTGAACTTTCATAACCATGTGACCTAAGTCAGGCTGTATACTTGTTCTTGTTATGAAGAAACTTAAGGTATTGTCCTTCGGGCTTGTATTGGACAAAATTCAGTGGTTGTAATGGGTGGCATTTTTCAAATGAGTCATAATTTGTTCCCAAGGTGGGAAATACTGATAACTCAGGGCAATATTCTAAGCCAAGAATGGATTGCCTGGCTGCTGTGTATCACTCAGAACAGAAAGTGAAGTCTCCTTCCCTCACCGGGTAATTAGAAACCCTCTGAAACAATGCTGGTGTTTGGTCAGCCCATCTCTGTATCTGTCCATATCAGCAGCCAGAGTCTGTCACATGTTAATTTAATCTGCCTTGTTTATAATTTAGATTGCATTATGATTGAACATTGCCTTGCACACTCCCTTGTGTTCTTCTTGCTGTTTCTTTTTCCAATAGCTTTAGCCTTTATAAAGTTTGCCCACAGCAGGGACAGCTGTGCTTGTGGAGGTGGCTTCTGAGTGTAAAGGTTTTGGAGGTGGTTTTGTAGTTAAGAGCCCACGTATCATGGATGTAGGGATAAACCTGACTGCTGCTTGGCTGTCCCTGCTGGGAGACCTGGGTGAGAGAGGACCTCTGATGAGGCTTATTCTGACCTCTGTAGGGGAGGAAGACATTTCCTCTACCTTCTGTGGGTTCGTCTGGCTGGAGAACGAATTAAATTCACATGAGACAGAATAGCAGGAGAAAATTAAACAAAGCTTTATGAGGCCCATGGCCTGGGGCCTTTCTTCCTGAAGGAAGAAAGGGCACCAAAGAAGTAGGGTGCACAGAGTGGTTATGTACTCCCAACAGGATGTTTTACATATGATTGAAATGTCCCTCCCACAATAGTCACAAGATTGCTCTGTCGGCACAGCGCTTGATGGACACAGCAGGTAATGGGTCTGCTATCTCGAGAGCATGTAGCAGGAGGCAAGTCTATTGTCTCAAGCTGGGCGGTCACAGGTGAGCACAGCAATCAGTTCCTAGCCTAAGGAAAGATGCTTAATCCTTAAGGAAATACCAACCTTGGGAGGGGGAGGGAAGCTGTGCCTTTATCTCAAGGGCCTTTGTTCTTGCCATAGGGAATATCTAAAGCAGGTATACGTACAATGCATGCTCAACGGCCTCAGTCAGGCCCTTTTGGAAAGACAAGGTCAGGCCGAATTAGGTTTACACCAAATGGCTTCCTCATGTACTCCAACACATCCCGCTGCTTGCCATCTTTACCTGTCAATGCACAAATGGGAGAGGCCCGGGCAAGCTGAGCAACCCGCCAAAATGGCCGAAACCACCACAGCTGAAATATCATATCCAGCAAAAGACAAAGGAGGATGTTGGAGGTGGGGGGGGAGTCAGTTACAGAAGGTTACCAGACAAGCACAATAAACAAATGCAGATTTAAGTCCTTGCCTTCCCTGTTGATTAAGAGTTCCTAGAGATAAGGTCTTCTCCCCTTCTTCCTGGTAGAGAGGGAGATATCTTTACAGATGGAGAGTTCTTTTACAATGTAAATGTCTCTTACAAAGGGTAAGTAAATTCTACTTTTCAGTTGCTTTCCTGTCTGCAAAGTAACGAGCCACAAATAATCATCATGCCAAAGAGACATATCTTGGGGTGGCCAATTCCAGGCCCCCACGCCTCCTTCCACAGGGCTTTGCATCATTCCATATGTTCCGTCCTTCAGCGTGGTCAACATTCGCATTTTGAAGTCTCATGTTGGGACTCGCAATGTCATAAAAAGAAAAAGAAAGAGCAGAGTCATGGTGTTGGACTGCCAGCCCTACTAAACAAATGGGTTCTCATGTCTCCCTGCTTCTTTTCATGGCCATTATACATTTGTGATGTTTATCTTAAAAATTATTTGAGGCTTTAGAAGTCCCCTTCTAAAGGAGCCTGATTTAGTCAGGTATCAATCTAATACTTCCTAAAACAGTAACTCTAAAAACTAAAGAGAAGAACAGTGTTTCTTTCACTATCACAGTGCCAGCATTGGGAGGAGACATGGGGTATTCAGAACTGAAGCCAACTGTAATTTGGAGACAGGTGAAATCTCTATCAGTGGGACTTTCAGAACAGATAGGCTTAGTCAGACCATAACTGTAAGCTTAACGTAATCATGGTGAGGGGAACAGTTAAGCCTCAGAACAGTTGTTCAGAGTTGTGAATGAGCAGGATGTATCACAGGACAAGCAGGAGATGAGTTCATTAAAGGTGAGTGTCTGCTGAAGAGTGACTAAAAGTAGAATCAGATGAGCTGCGAATGCCGCAGAACAGTGCATGTGGCCCTCTCTCATTTGTCTGCGTAGATCTCTTCCACCTCTTTGCTGACCAAGCCCCACCTAGAAGCGCCCTGTCCTTACCTGCGTGGCATGACACCACGAGCCTCCCAGTGCTTGTGTCCATCGGCCTCTGACTCTCCCTTCCAAACTCATTTTACATGCTCTGCCATCTATGAAAACTTTCTTAATCCTCCTCTTCAAATGGACTGTTCCCGCCTTTTCTTTCACGTCTGGACTGTGTGCGTGCTTCTGTGATAGATCACACACGCTTCTGCACAATTTGTTTACATTTCTGTCTTAGTCCATTCGGGCTGCTATAACAGAACACCA